ACTGTATATCCAAGATACTACTACCATCATACAATACTGTAGTAATAAATATCCATCAAAAACCTTATTTCAAATCCATCCTCCTTTCACCATCCTCAAATGCTCATTCTCATCTTCTATTCCCTTTGCCTCCCCCTACCGCAACCCCACTAAACCCATCATCCCACAGGCCTGCCGACCCTTCTCTTTCAAGCATGTATCTTCCATTTTTTTCGTATGTATAATTCCTTTCTTGAAGTACCTTAACTCTTAATTGGCTTCTTGTTCTTCTACTACTACTGGGATATTTCCTAATTAACATATTCATATCTTGGTTGCAATGAGACTACATGGTAGTACTATTTTGCTCGTGCTTGTACTTCATCAGATTCTGGCAGGTAATGGACTGACGAATGCTGCCGCAAGAGGGCTCTTCCTCACGACTCCATCAGCCAATACTATTAGCATAAACTCATCATCAGAAGATGCTGCAAGTTGTTCATTAAGCAGGTGCAACTCATTCGGACTTCATTTCTCAAGGTATTCTTCTAAACAATGGAGGAACAAGATTGATGATAATGACAAACGCATGGTTCCAACAGGTCCGAATCCTTTGCATAACAGATAGAATGCGTACATGCGATCAGCTCCTACAACTTAATTAGCCCGTGACGAGATTAACGGATGAGTAAACTTACTCAGCATGTAATCTTGGTATACTATGTAATTAAGAATTACTGGCTAGTAGCTAGAGAAAGGAGAGTATTTTTTTCTTTTGAAATTTCAACTGTTGCTTGATATTGGCTTCTAGTACTAATTTTTTTTCCCTTTCAGTTTTATTTGCTTCGTGGCGAAATTATGGCATGTAGTTTAGAGGATTCTGAGAATTTTAGTCCACCCCCGATGGCTTCGCTTCACTAATTTTCCTGAAAAGTACTCTAGTATCCATTTTAATTGATATGGTTACTTTTCATCTAGTGGTTTTTGGTTCATTACTCAGAAATTCGAGGGGAAAGTACATTACACACTGATACTAAGTACTTCATGCTTTATCATTCACAAATTTGTTCTTTTCTTTGCTGTACACAGACAGGATTGGAAAAGTATAAAATTGTGACCAGGAAAAAGTTGAGTGAAACTGCGGAAATGTTCAACTTTTGGAACAAAATTTGAGCAAAACACAGTAGATTTAGCTGTTGTAGTGTTCTTACGACAAAAATACAGGAGGCCTTTTATGCCAATATTGCAAGTCTTTTTTTGGAAACCAACAACAAATCATCTTTCTTCCATAAAAGACAAAGATGAGTTGGGAGGATGGGGGAACTGGAACCTTGGGTATTGGAGGGGGTTAAGACGAAGGTCACAATCACCAGAATTGTCGACTCTCGAAATCATAAAGCAAAACGGGTGTTAAATGTTAATGTTTGGGAAAAAGTGGGTCAAAGCATAGAGTTGCATGCATGGATGGATGGATAGTTGCTGCTGGGACGCTGGCTGGCTGCAATAAAACAGAAACAGAAACAGAAAGGCCAATTAAATGGAATTTGCCTCCATTTACTTTTGTCATGGAGGAATAGGAACAGGGAGGCATACAGCATTGAAGTCTCCTTCTGAATTCTGATGTCAATTCAATGCCTTCTCACTGTTTAGGAAACAGATCCCATCAACATCGGTAACGAATTAATACATTACAATATTGCTTGAGACATGGGAGGAGTAGCTGCTCAAGTAGGCCTGAAATGGAAAGCAAAGAAGAAAGCTTTGGTTTCCGGGAAATTTTGACTGATACCATGTGAGACAATACTGATGGTGATTTATAACAGAATTCCCTTCAATATTTACACTTGGTGTGAGACTAAAACGTACAGTTACCACTATCATTATGGAATGATTACGTTCTCAATTCTCATATGGCCTACGTCTGATTGGTGTTAGGCTGATCAAGATATCTATAAATGTAGATCAAAATTGCATAAATTATCCCGTTTGCAAATGAGTTTTTTGGATATTTATTTAAAATTTTACTGTAATTTAATGTAGAAGTTATAAAAAAAAATTTTAAAGTATGAAACTTTTTTTTCCTTTTCCTTTTCTTTTTCCTTTTCTTTCCTTGCCACTTCTTCTCCCTTACCTCAACACTTGCCAGCCGCCGGCGCAGGAACCTCCACCAATGACCAGTGCCGGTAAATACAGAAGTTTTTTTTTCTCTCTTCTCCCTCTCCCTCTTCTCCCTCCTCCTCCTTTTCTCTTCCCCACCACCCTCCCCCTCTCCCCTAGAGAGGAGAGGGTGGCGGGGAGAGAGGTGGTGAAGCAGAGGGGAGGAGAGGGGGAGAGGGGGAGAGGGGAGGGGAGGGGAGGAGGAGAGAGAGAGAGGGAGAAGAGAAAGAACAAAAAAAAAGCCTTTGTCGATGCTGGTGCTGATATCGAAAGAGGTGATCTGGAGGTGGTGGTAGGTTAATGTGAGGGAGGAAGAAGAAAAAAAGGAAAGAAGGGAAATTTTTTTTTTTTTGTATTTTTGAAGCGTGTATTTTAAAAATTTTGGAAAATTTTTTGAGATTATTATAGTTAAAGTAGTTAAAAAAACTTATAAGAGAAAAACTAGGCAAAAACTTGCCTTGCCAAACAGTGCTGCGAAACAACTAATGGTTATTTGACAAATAAGTTTTTGATCAAGTTTGTTTGCTACAAGTTTTTTAACAACTTTAATTACAGTAATATCAAAAAAAATTTCAAAATTTTTAAACTATACCTTTCAAAAAATTTAAAAATTTACACACATAAAAAAGGGTTCCTACAATTTCTATAGTAAGATACAATAAAATTTTAGACACACACCCAGAAAAATTCATTTGCCAAATAGGGATTACATATTTGCAACTCCCAAAAACATGTAAGAGGTGACTGTTGTTTTACTCTTACTGTTCAAACCAATACAATTATTCTACTAATATATACATTTGTAGCTAGTGTACTCATTGTAGAGTGCAAAATAATCACATGCAGGCTCGTTAAAACACTTGGCTACCAAATCGGCAAAGTGTAACTTAGCGATTGCCTGTAAATAGCAAGAATGGTGCATAAATTCGCAAAACAAAAGCCAAGATGAATTGGACTTTCTTTGGGCAACTTCTGTGTAGACCCGTCTAATGGGAAAAGACATGCCTTACTTGAAAATTACCAAATGAATCTTGAAGTGAATGCAACATTGCCTCTCCACTCAATTCAAGCAGTAAAACTTTCAACTTTCAGTTTTGGGGTTCAATTTACAGACTGCATCCATCTTCACGTTTTTTCGTACCCAAGTATGTGCATAGCAGGAAGCAACCTTGTCTATATTTTCCAACCACGTTGCATTGTTTACCTGAAACAGTGACATCTGCCAGTAACCAAAACCATATTATTCCTCAGGATGGTCGCCCATTACTACATGGTGCAAGGGTCCTCCATTATTGTCATTGATGTCAATTAGGGGAAACAAATACTTAAAATCTTAGTTTTTTTTCCTCCCTTTTCATGAAATCAATAGAAAGGTTATCAATGGCAATCCCATCTTATGCTGGTGTTTCCGGAAAAGACCCACAAGCTCTCGTGACAATGCATATTGGCTCCTACCGTTTTTCTTTCTAGCTGTCTTTTGACTCACTTCAATAATTAGTAAACAGTATCTGCGTTTCCAGGAAATATATCTCACTGGTCCAAAATGAACGACAATGGTCATGTACTTTACATAGAAAGCACTGATTTCAGAATTCCAAAACTACGAATTTGCTAAGATGCGTATTATTTATCATCTCACAAGCCAGAATATTACTCGATCATCAAAACCCAAGAGGAAAAGGAAAACAAAAGGAAGAAGAAGAATACCACCTAGCAAAACTGTCAGCAATAAGCACCCTTACCATTTAGAGCCGCTTGAACTTAGGTAGGAGCATATCGCGTACAGAAAAAAGTTTTGCTTCCTTCTACGGTATAAACTCGTTCCTATACATGTCATACCCTTGAAAGATGAAGAAACAGCAATGCAAACCGGGAAAACTACTGATCATTTAAATACGGGATAATTTCAGAAACCTCCCTTGAGGTTTCTGACAATTTCACTTACCTACCTTCAGGTTTGGAAAATTACACTAACCTCCCTTCATGTAATAAAATGACTATAATATCCTTCACTTATAAATAATTCCTACAAACAAAAAAACTCTACACTTACAACTAGTCTTTTATTCTAAAACAACTGCTGCCATACAAACTAAACTATTGTTCTATCTCTCTAACTCTTTCTCTTATCTTCTTTCTCCTATATCTCTTTGTTCGCAAATAGACACACACTCTCTCTTCTGTTTTCTTTTTTTATAAGTATAATTGAATTGAAATTATAAAATGACAAGTTGCTGGATCATATTTGTTATCAAACTAAATGAAGGTGAAAAAGACGGTGGTGATACAGAGTATATACAGAAAAATAAAAATGATAGCTACAAAGGGAATGCAGATTAAAGAAGGTTACAATATTATACCAATTGTGTAAAAAAGAATTTTGAGATATAAAAACTATAATTAGATTTGCCTAGAGACATGGGATGTGGACTCTAGTGTTGCTTTTGGTTGCTCCGTGTTGGTATTCTTAGTAGGTTACATTATTTTAGTAACAACAAGGTTAAATAGTGACATTGATCAATTCAAACATTGAATTTAGGGAAAAAAATGAGACTAAATATTAGGTTGAATGCAGACTTTAATGGTCATAGTTGATTTGCATGGAAAACTTTGAGGCGGCAATAGTAGGCTGCCAAAATTGCAAGAATATGGGAATTAAGGTGAAGTGATTTATTGAGGTGATTATGCCGATTACAATAGTTGCAATATCAAAAAAATTTATTAATTTGTTTTTCCCCCTTCTAAGTAACAAAGGGACATTTTAGGATTTTTGAGGAGAAAGTTAGCATATTGGGTCTATATTGTTACTGAAATGCTAATCATAGGGGAGGTAGATGTAATTTTTTAAACTAGAAGGGAGCTTCTTGCAATAGTCAGAAACCTCAGGGGAGGTTTCTGAAATTATCCCTTTAAATAATGATAATAATAAAACAAATTACAAAACTTTTTTACATTCTCTTTACAAAGGCATTGTAAAATGAATACAGAGTTTGCCTTTGGGTAGAGTCGTAGACCTTCTCAAGTATCAGCTTGACAATGATATGCTTGCAGATTTTGGAAGGGTAGTGGGATTAATCTGTTTTGGAGATGAAGCAGGTGGGATTCCAGGTTTTGGAAACGAATTTGAACTACTCCGTTGTGGAGAGGGGAAGACCTCTGAGATAGTATCCCATGAAGCTGGATCATTATTCCTGCGCTTCCGGTCCAAGAAGGCTGGTCTTATTGGTGCTTCGTCCAATTCAACTTTGCATGTTAACATTGCTACGACCTCTGACATTGGTGGCCTCAGATTTGCATGAGGCTGAAGGCACAAAAAAGCTAGATGAAGTACTTGCAAAACATCCTTCTCCACAACTCCATCCTCGCGCAATTTGGGATCTACTAGATCCATCAGCTTTGACTTCTCATACAACTTCCAAGCCTATTTTAAAAAGAACAGTTTTTCAGATAACAAGTCGTGTGATACCTCACTTTACAGTTTCAATGTAGTAACTACTACAGCAGTTGAAATACTTACATATTCTGGTAGATATTGCTTTTCTGAAGGCAAAGCAAGATCTGTGTTTTTCCTGCAGCTGATAATCTCAAGCACCAGAACTCCAAAACTATAAATATCCGCCTTTTCAGATAATTCTCCTCTTATGGCATATTCAGGTGCTGTATAACCTCTGAAAGAATTTAAAAGAGGCGGTTACTAGCCAGAAATACAAAGAAATCAGATCCAGAAGATGCACTTCTTTTCTGTGTGATAAAAAACAGAAAATGCATACTTTAATTCAAGAAGTGTAAATCTTCAAATTCACGTTTTTTGAGAAGTGATTCACTTTCGTCAGTTGGCATTGGTGATTAGCAGTTTGAAGCTTCTATATCCTTCTTTAGCATGCCATTCAAAACTCTGTCCAGAAGAGACTAAACACCCTCATCATATTACTGCAAAAGACTTTGCTTCAGACAGGTCTGATTGCTTATGCAACTAGAATGACTTCAAACACTGCTGGTGTAACAACGACTAGGGCAAATAACAAGGAACTGATGGCCCATAGTAGGGGATGCTTTATTTGTCTAAAGCTAAAAAATAGCCTCCAATTGTCAATACGTGGTACATCATATTGATGATGGAGTGCTAATTGGCTATGCTATAAGCATCATCCATTGAACTGTAACAAACTGCAGAGTGTTGCTAACTATGGGATACTGAAAAAGAACTATATAGTATGGCATGAAGTCTTCCACACAGTTGTCGATGCACTTGGGAAATATTGGGTTACAAAGCCTGAGAAAACCATCTACTTTGAAGCAGCCAGATTGTGCAATCCGGGATCTTGTACAACCGGGTATAATTCAGTAGACAAATACAACTCCGTTTAAACTTATTTACGCTTACATCATTCTCTATGAGATTCTGAAGGCACAAGTATTTCTATTTTATGTTCTTTTCCTAGCTTGTAAGAACAAAATTTAGTTTACAGAATTGAAACTAATAATCCTGTTAGTTCATGGTAGAGTAATGCGAAGATGCAATTCTATTTAGCTATAAATGGAACATACTTACAAGGTTCCAGCAAATGTAGTGCTAAGATAAGCTTGATCCTCGGGGAAAAACCTGGCTAGGCCAAAATCTCCAATTCTTGGTTGGAACTTGTCATCAAGAAGAATATTGCTGGCTTTAATATCCCTATGAACAATTCTGAAATGTGAATCTTCATGCAAGTATTGCAAACCTCGTGCAACCCCAATAATTATTTGGAAACGAGTGCTCCAGTTCAAGAATACATCACTTTTTCCTGTCCCATTGTAGAGAAAAAGCATAAAGCAAAACATTGAAGTACAAATCAATTTCTGTTAATTCCTCAATCAGTTAATCGTTCCTTTTGAAGTCCTATTCTAGAGCTCTTGTATTTCAATGCTTTCGGCTCTCACTAGCCATCAATCATCATATGAAACATTTACTAGCTTGGTGTTCATTACCAGATTTAAGTATGATATTATCTAGACAATATAAAGAACAGACTAGATAACAGTTGCATTCTAGACGACGAATGTGTCTATTTTCGAGAAACTAAAAGGAAATCAGATAAAGTTCACCAAGTATGAAGATTGGTCTACAGATGGAAAATCTCGGAGATTTTAGTAGGTTAAAGAGGGGAATATTCTTCCACCCTATTTGCCCTTCCTTAAACCTATTTCTCTTCACCTCAACGGTTCTCCTAGATATATCCAACTAAAGTGATCTCTGCTGTAGAGCAAATTTACATAATATTAAAACATGTGAACAATCCAGCCAAAAAACAGGAGATATGAGGAATACCATATATGATGATGTCCAAACTCCTATTTTTCATGTACTCATAGACAAGAAGCCGCTGAGCTCCATCTGAGCAGCACCCAAGAAGGCGGACAAGATTCTTGTGCTGTATGCTGGTTATCATCCTTACCTCAGAAAGAAATTCTGATTCTCCTTGTTGGGATTTTTCCAGGGATAGCTGCTTCACTGCAATCAATTTTCCATCTTCTAGTTTCCCCTGGTAATAGCAACCATCAAATTGAATAATCTACTGTTAATTAGCAGCACAAAAACCAATAGACTAGATTTTTGCTTTAACTTTTCCAAGCACCTAAGTGATGAACACCATTTATGTCAAAAATGATGCTGCATGACTTGGCAAATAGTCAAATTAACCTATTCACCCTACGGGGGAGTTAACGCAATAAGATGTCCAGCACTCTTCATATAATTATGCAAAGACTAGTATCAGATGGGCCATCATGTTTCTTACAAGCCACAATTACTGCAGGCCAGAGACTCAAACTCATGTTTAATCTTTTTCACATCTTGGAAAAACAAGAAAGGACTAATACATTGACAGTCGAAGTAATCATCAATACCAGAAAGACTGGTCCAAAGCCACCTCTTCCAAGCAGATTGGCGTGATGAAAATTTTTGGTAGCCTTTTTTAGGGTCTCGAAGTCATAATAGCTTATTGTATGAAGATTTCCACTTAACACGTTTGTTGTCCCTGCGATTGATTATAGTGGAGAACTGTAATGAGATCTCTTTGAGGTTAGCTATAACCAATTGTCATATTCTCTAATACATACCGCATAAGCCCTTTTTTGGGCCAGCAGTAAACATTTTCAGCCTTCCTGTTTTGATAAATTTGTTGTAGATGAAAAAGAGCACAAGCAATATAATGAGCACAACCATCCCTCCAAGGAGAAAGAACAAGGCTGATGAGGAATGCTTTATGGGACTTTGTAAATCAAGCATTGGGGGTGTTGCCGATGTTACTGCATCAAGAAAGTAGAAACACCTTTCCATGGTAAGATCAAATATCAAACCAATACATGAGACATACCTAGCAGCAAATTGCTATACAAGAAAATATGTTGAGAAAGAAAGGAATGTGAGAACATTCAACCAAGCAAATTTTATGTGATACAGCACTGTGCTTCAGCCAGTAGTATGAATGCATGTGGAGAAACTCTAGCCATAAGAAAGCAGAACAATCGCTTTTTAACAGTCTTAAAAGAAATTAACATAGTGGAAATTTATAGGATTAGGATTGTACTATGACATTTCCCTCCAAATTATGAATTAACAACTAGATCGCTATTTCCGCTAGAATACTCTGATACACAATAAAGATTATTGTACGAGTGTAGGAATTTTTTGAATCCACCAGTGCAACTTATAGCAAAATCACAGTGAATTTTATAATGAAAGCAAAATGCTTGCACTGGGACAGCCTATTGAAGGCTAGTTGGGGAGGCCTGGAACTCCATCAAGAAGACACTGGCCAAAGAATCAACATACATATATATTGCCTATCAAGCTAAATAATCCATGCTTGCATGCTGGACGGAGAAAGCTCAAAACTGCTAGGCGGCTTCAAACGCAATACCCATTCTTAACAAAAGTTTGTCTTTTATCCATGGAAATTCTTAACATGCTTGACATTGCTAAGAGCATCTATGCAACTTCTTGGTGACGATAAATTTTCCTTAACCATGTCATAAGCACAGTGCGTCTATAATAAACCAAATCGTGTCAACTGTCTTGCTACAACAAAAAATCTAAGCTCTAAAATGCTCGAACAATCTTCCACCTGTCCTATGTAATAATTCTCATGTTAAATCTAAGGGAAGATTCAAGTGATCAGAGATCATCACCGTAAGTCCTATATACTATAACATGCTAGATGTCTTAAAACACAAAACTATAATCCGACCTTCTAGCAAGGTGACATGAATATAGAAACTCAGAAATGTCATAACTTATTCAGAAATGTCCTTGCCAACATTGAATCCCCCAACCCAAAAATGGGGTGGAAAACAACAAACAAAAGTTTGTTAATCAGAACGTTGCAGGGTAGTCCCCAACAGGGATTACACAGCATCATGCCCTCTGCATCTCAAATTCTGATTCTAAGGCAGCTAGTATACAATTTGAAATTGGAACCCCATGAACTCAATTCTGCAATTAAGCCATGTATTTACTATTCCCTTTTGTGGTATAAAGCTCCAGTACTAGCTGGAGCAATAATCATCAAAGGGTAGAACCTTTTATGGGTGAAATATGCATAAGCGGTAGCCCCAACCAAGATATCAAATGTACAACCAACAGAAGGAAGAAAGGAGGTATTTTTGGAAAAATATACGGCAGAAGTTGAGGGACATTGAATCATGACAATCCTTTTTTTCTTTGACACTCAAGAGTAACATATACTGACTTCTATAGCGCTACATTCCTTCTTCACTCAGTCCATTACAACCTGATTGCAGACATGATGCTTGAAACACAAGTACTTAACACGATCAAACTCAAATATTGAAAATTAGTTATGAAACTGCAAATAGATCCATACCATCAGCAAAACTAGCACTAAGTAAAAAGTATTCATTAGAAGGTAAGCTTACCATGTTGTTCAACTATTATAACACGACGAGCCATTGAGGTGCAGCAATCTGTGTAACTGAAACTAATTCTTTTCTTCTGCTGCTTTGATTAGTGAAGGATAAAGGATCATGGTTTTAGGAAGCCGGACTGTGTTTTGCTGCTCACACAGCTTTTGGTTATCCTGACTTTGTTTTATTCCTTTGTGAAGCATCCCACTGTTTGAGACAGACAAAGGAGACGGGGGCATGGGGATGATCGAAAGGGGCGAAGTTTCGGCCGATACAAAGCAGTGTAGGCGACAGAGAAGAGGGACGATTTCCATATGTCTGTCGCTGTAAGCAGGACGGCAGATTTCACAATTTTTTTTGGAAGTTCATCTTATCTTAGAAAATTAAAAAGAAGAAACGGTTAACCGCGGCCATTCAATCATTCCTTGTTTGGTTGGAGGGGTTCAAAATGAGGAGCCAAACGTGCCCGATGGATCGCCAATCGAGAATAATCAGGTGTATAAAACTTCGAACAACCACTGTACATCTTCCTTCACATGTTGTACACTTGTCCTTGCTGCATGTAGCTAGAACTTCACACACAAATTAAGAATTATGAGAGCCGTTTAATGTATTAAAAAGATCTTGAAAAAGAAAGAAAATATGCCATCGCATCATCACTACATGGGACAACTGTTTATTTATTATAGTAATGAATAAAATATGCCATCACTACATCATTCATGCACAAGATTACAAGAATGATATAATCTTATCTTATCTTACATATATAAAGCGTCAATCGCTTATGAACAGTGCAGAATGAGCCGGTTATGCCGTTATTTTTGTGACTTTGAGGGGTATTTTGGTCTTTTGGTGATGGGTGGCGTGGTTTTGTTGAAAATTCACTCCTGTCCGCGTGGGCAAATGGTCTGGTTACTCTATAATTTTCATGCACTCTGGGGGTGTTTGTTGGTTGCATGATTTTTGGGCGGCTTGGGGAAACGTGGGTGCAGATAGCCTCGTTGAATCGGTGGACGCTTTTTGCTCTACCTTCTGTCTCTGTTCCTTGCTCTCAATTTCAATTATTGCTCTCTTCTAATTACCACTTTCTCTCCTGCTCTTCTGGCCGCGTAGGCCTCTTGGATGGGAATATTTTGGCGGTCAGCAATACTCTCATTCTGTTCTTGGTTCTGTTCAGTCTGTTTTTGGCAACAGGATAAACTTTCTTTTAAAAAAATGCAATTTAAGAAATGAATTATAGTTTTTGAATTTTTACAATAGATCCAATTTTTTTTCTTTTGAGCATGAAAAAATGATTCAATAAATACAAATTATCAAAACCAAAATCATCAAAATCTCCAAAAAAAAAAAGATATAGACAGCCTAAAAAAGGGAAGAAAGAGAGAAAAATAAGAAAATATGTATATTCACCTTGCAAGTTAAACTTGTTCAATATTGAGAGTCACATGCTCATTTTCAATAGATGATGCCCTGTTAATCTATCAATCAAACAATCATCTAAATTGCAACAAAAAGAATAGGATCCAATATGAAACCCTGATTAGGAGACATGGTAGTATATATAAACCGAGGTCATGGTGGGATAGAGTTGAATAAAAATTATGTGTCATGAATATAGACCTATTAATGTAAAACGAAAAAGCCACTGAATCTACAAAAAATATTAATTCAATTTTACATTGGTTTGAAAATATTTTTAAATATGTTTGAATGCTCATTCAAGTCTAGCAAACAAAAGAAAATGACAAACCCATTTTATAATTGTCTTTCTTTATTTCTTTCTTCCAAAAGATTGTTAAGTGTGAAGTACTAGCAAATAGAAAGTGTCAAAAAAAATGGAAATTGTCAAATTGCTTGTCTTAGAGAAGTAACGTGACTAATAAGCAAGGCTACACATTACATGTATAGCCATATGCCTTTTAGTTCTACCTAATTTTAGGCATTACTTATTGATTAATGCTATATTAAGAGTGTAAGATAACATGATTTTAAAGTCATGTTTATTTGTGCAATTAGGAAAAAACATACACTCACACACATGACTACTGTATCTAACAAAGAAAAAAAAATACACAAACATAGCAGCAAAATAATGAGTCTCAGCTACCTGACGCATGCCGTCAGGGCTAAAAAACTAGTTATTGATAAAGTAAAGATATGCAATGCCAAATATGACACACTACTACTTTGCCAGCGGAGAGATGACATAGTATTATTCTATACACTTGTCAATGCTAATGCCAAAGGGTTTGGATCAAAGACACGAATGACTGAAGGAATCGGCCAATTAGACAAAAAAATGGATGGAGATTGCAGGGTACATTAGCAATCATATTGAATTAGCCAATGTTTAAATAAAACAGGAAAAATGGCAGAAGCTTGACAAAATCGAAAAGCGTAAACGTTATATTTGTTTGTTTTATTACTCTAATTAGAGACTTACGGAAATTTGGATCAATTTATCAAATAACAATGTTTAGGAGATCAAATTTTAAATGTAGGAATTGCCTGAGAATTGATTGATTGATTGATTTGGCTTCATGGAATAAATGAGAAAAAGGGTAAAATACTCGCTCTTATTTGGAAATATTAACATTTCACATATAACTATGAATACTTTTCGTTCAATTTTCAATTTAGTTAAAAATCTCTATAATGCAAGTTTTCAAATTAGAGGGAATTAAATTAAACATTTGACAAATCACAGAGAGTTTTTTAATATTTTATCTTGAGAAAGTATGTAAAAAGGGATTTTTTGAAGTTACTTGATCGTTTGATCTAGAGTTGTAATCGAATCGAACTGCTTGCGAGCAATTCAGTCAAAAACTTGACTCGAATTCGAGTAGTTTGCTGGGCCAAACGAGTCAAATTCGAGTATAAAGTAGCAAGACTCAAAGGTTCGTCAAGCCTTTTCGAGTTTTAAAATTTTAATTTTTTAATATATTATTATTATAAAATTACTCTTGTACCCACAAGAGTGGTTGAAGGACGATAATATTTTTCCGCTTAAAATTTGTCAAAAAAAATTAAATTCTTAAATATTTCTAATTCGAACTCGATAAGACTCGCTTTTACTCAAATTCATGCGAGTCGAACTCGAGTTCTACAAGCAATGTACCGCATTGAGCTCGAGTGCGGCGATACTTGGATCTGATTCGATTCGATTGAATCACATCCCTAGTTTAATCCAGTGTTTTGAAAACCGGACCGGACCGGCCGGTTCGACCGGTTGAACCGCGAACCGGCCATGGCTCCGGTCCGGTTCAATGCCAGGTTTGATTGTGTCAAGAAACCGGTCAAAAACCGGTCGGACCGCGAAACCGCTGTACCGGATTTGAACCGATTATTTCCGGTTTTTGAGTTTTCCTTTTTTTTTTTTTGGCAAAATGTAGTTACCAAGATTCGAACTCAAAACCTTTGTAATAGAAGACCAATGTAGTAACCATTGCACTATCACATCTTATTAGTTTTTTTTGATAACTTATTTATATAAAACAAACACTCATATTTCTTTTGTTCCATTTTTTTTTACAAAATATCATCCTTTCATGACTCTTTCTTTTTAATCTTCAATACACACACACACACACACACTCTCTCTCTCTATCATCTTTTCTTTTGCCACTCATTTTTTAATCAAACCTCTTTATTTTTAATTTATTGATGTTTTCTTCCATATTTTAATTTTGTTTTTGTCCATTAAATTTAAAAAAGTTAAAAAAGAATTATTTTTCTTTAACGCAATTTATTTAATACCACAACCACTCACTTTTATCTCATTTTTTGTTTCTTATCAAATTTGCATTTCTATTTTCAATTCTCTTGATTTTCTTCGAACTCCAAACTTCCTTTTTTAAATTGTAAATTTAAATTCCAAAATGTAAATTAAAATTTAAGTTCACAATGTCTAAATTCTCATAGACGTGAATTTTGTATAATTTCAAATATTGTGATATTTTTGGATTATATTTAAGATTTTTTTGGTAGATATAATTGAAATTGAGATGAAATTTATTTGTTTTAACTTATAATTTAAAAAATTTATTTTTAAAAATCCAAGTTATTCAAAAATAGTAAACTTTTCATCATATAAAGTATTAAATTATCCATTACATGTCTTATTTTGTGCACATATATATTTATATAAATTATTTTTTAAAAAATTCATTGAACCGAGGTTGAACCGGTCCGACCGATTGAACCTCGACCCTTTCACTTCACCGGTTCGATTAACGGTCCGGTTTTTAAAACATTGGTTTAATCCAAAACCAAAGAGCTGAGGATAGTACTACTAGTTAATGTGGGGCCAATTTGCTTTCTCCATCCGTTCTTGAATATTGGACGAGGGGCCTAGAGATGGTCCAGTCCAACCCAATTAGACAATAAGTCTGCAATGGGTTTTTAACTTTCTGTGGATACTTGTGATTGAGGGTTCATTTTGACAATTCACTTCATCCCAGAACCATTGCCTATCGGGAATCTCAGTTTTCTTAATTTTGTAAATGTTTATATGTTATATAGGAGGAAATATTATTACTAACAGTCCAACACAAGGTAGAAAAAAGAAAAAAAAAAAAGGAAAAACAATTATCATAATTTTTTTTCCAAAAAATAGGCGTCATTAACCATTTTTCAGAAGTATTGGAATATGATTAACTTCATCAATTTTGACTATAATATATATGTAAAAACATCAATTGAAGTGGAAAAACAGAGGTGTTTTTCTTTTTCATTACAGTTAATACCTCAAACATTTATACTGTGTACAAAGGGGGAGGTGGACTTTTGATGTAAACAAATTTTTGTCAATTCGCATTTTTCTTAAACTACCCTTACTAACTACGTAATATAATGAACTAGTACCAGTTAGGGTTATGAATAATTTTTAAATAAATAATCTATTTATACACATTAATTTGGTGAAATTTTTTAATATCTATTGTCAAAAATATAAAACCAATTCGTCTAAGAAGGATACAAATTTACTCGAAGTTTTAATAATATTTTCCTATTAATTCCACATACATTCCGTTGAACACCAGTCATTATTATGGTGTATGGTATTTGGTTGGATCGGTTAAGATGTCAATTTCCAGAAGGCGGTCAAATTGGACTTTACCTAACCAAAAACCATCGGGCAGGTGTCGATCAACCCTGAATCATGACTTCACAGAGCCCACGACTCAGGAAGCCGGCATGTTCATGAATGCAGACTATTCTCCACGATTTTTTATAAAAAAAAAAAAAAAAGAAGGAAGACTGGCTTTAGTCAAACGCTGCGCCCAGCTGGAAATCGGAATACAAGAATTAACTAGACACTCGTAAATAGCCTACAATTTTTTTTTCCGGAGATGATAAACCTATTCTATCCTACATTAAAGGGGAGAGGACGGATTAAGGAGGTTCAAGGTAACTCGGAGGGGACTAAATCACTACTGGATCAGACGAGTGCACAGCACACCCGACTGAATTTTTTAGAAACAAACCACTTAGATATGTCATTTTTTTTATGTCCCACCCACTCAGGCTGGTGGTTCATAAATAGCCTACATAGTGGAGTACTATAAGTTTTCAATTTTGCAAATAAACTACAATTCAAACTATATATAACTCACTTCTAAATCTCGTGATCCATTGCATTACAATAGGCGCTACTAACAATTAGAAAATGTAGCAACAAACATGTTTTTTGCCATCTTGTATCAATTAAATAGATTTGGATAATGGGGCGTTGCACAACGAAAGGTAACTATGGAAAAACCAGAGCATTAAGAAACCAATTTTCTTTTCTAGGAAATTTAATCCTATATCTTAGTCTAATTCAAATCTTTTGATTAATCTCTTCAAAGACATTTTTCAAACCAACTTGAAAGACCAACCAAACGAGTTAACACTAAGTTTGGCTATGTGAGAGTTCGTTCGAGTTTTGGTACACCAACCGTTTAAGTTAAATTTAAATAGTGTTTTGTGTTTGATTAAGTTTCAAATTTCGCTCAATTTTAAGTGATTAGCATCAACTTCTGAAATTTATGTGTAAACAATTCAAAATATTTGAACTCGCTTCGAATGTGGATTTGTTGTTTTGGGTATTGCTAGATGAATACATGCAACAAATTTAAACAGAGTCTGATTCGATGAATAAACACGACAAATTTAAACTTATTAATAAGTAAACAAACTTGAATGCTAAAATATTGATTTAATTAAACTCATTTACATCTCTACTTTCATGGAAGAATAATTGATGTTCAACTGCTGCGGTCACCCTTCTCTCACTAACGTGTTAAATAACGAAATTGAATGGGTAGACTAGAGGTGTTGTATTTTAGTTGCACAAAGTATAGTAGTATTAGAAAGTTGAAACGTATAAGTAGGATTACGATTTAAGGAAAAAGTCCAAATTACATAGCCTCCAATATCTCCAGCACGCCCACGGCATCATCCATTCCATTCCCTCACTATCACTCCAAGCCTTCTTTTCTGCTGAAAAGTCTCCATTCACCGCTTCTAAGTTCTGACCTTCAACCCCCCCACAATCCCTTTCTTCTCCAAGCTTACCATTCCTATTTGCTAGAACAACCTCATCAAGCAGCAAACTTTCTCATTTACAAAGAAGAAAATCTCAAACCCTGAAGTAAATCTATCAATCAAACAAACAAACTAGATACTTCTCTTTCCTTCAATACTAGTGATAAAAAAAACATGGCGTATGTAGATCACGCGTTCTCGATATCCGATGAGGACATCATGATGGACACCCCCTACACCGTCAACAACCGCCCTCCTATCAAGGAGATCGCGCTCGCCGTTGCTCTTTTAGTTTTCGGCACCCTAGGAATCGTCCTCGGCGTCATTATGGCTGTCAACAAAGTTGGTGGCGACCGAGCTCATGGTCAGCTCTCTCTCTCTCTCTCTCTCTCTATTTTCCTATTATACCGCTTACTTTACTTCCAATTTATATGATTCTGACTTTAACTATTTATCCGTTTTTCTGCTAAATTTGTTCTGGGGTTTTATTTTTCATGGTGGGGGAGGGTTTGGTACAACAGTTATTGAGCAGAGTACTACTTAATTGAGTCTAATTTTTCATTTCTGATTTTTCCCTAAAGTTTTGATTTTGGAGGTATTGCTCAGGTTGGCTGGTAGTGTCTTGTGCCCCTGTATGATAATGCTTGAATGATTATCTAACAAGCGGCTATATATATATAATGCTCTTTTTGCTTTAGCTCACATTCAATTGGATTTCCTAGCTAACGCTCGATTGATTCCTGAATCTTTTTTTAACTGTTGATGAGCTTATATTGACTATTGTTGTCAATTTCAGGACTATTTTTTGCAATACTTGGCGGTATTTTGTTTCTTCCGGGATTTTACTACACAAGGATTGCATACTATGCTTATAAGGGTTACAAAGGTTTCTCTTTCTCCAACATTCCTCCTGTGTAGAGTCGTTGGAGAATCAAGAGTTGATGTACAGATAGAGCCCTTGTTCTTTCGGGTGTTACTTCACTGTCATTCGTGTTAGTATCTGTTTGCTGATGTTATCTCTGAGAAATTGTAATGCTGTGGCTGTAAATGAATGCACTGTTAAACTCGTACACACTCTTAGTAATGATCTATTTTTCCTTTTTTGACCTCTCTTGCTCACTTGATTTTTACTTATTCATGTGTTACTGAGTATCTATTGGGCAATTGTGGATGGCAATGAAGTTGGTTTGGTCAACTTTGCTTTCCATTACTGCAAATGCTTATGCATAAGGAATATTTGTCTGTGGAACGTGAAGTTCTTTACGCATTACTCACTCTAAAACGTTGCTAGTCTTGACATCTTTCATGTACATATTCTTCAAATGGTAATAACCAGTCCAAATAAACCTTAGGCTCCTATGTTTTCTGCATATGGGTTGAGTTTGCTCTTATATTCCACAGAGTTAATTCAAAAATAAAATTGTACATGTTTGTTAATGAATGAGAAACCATATGAAGGCAAGCTTTGGTTGGACCTAATTTAAAATGCTTGGAGGTTAAGATTGTGGTACTTTTTTCCAGGATGATAGTTGTGGATATTGAGAAAGGTAACTGATTGCTGATGGAGTTTATTTCATGCTTGGAGAATAGGGTGCAAGAGTTGTTTTCTTGAACGGCCATTGGTGTCTTATCAAGACTCTTAAATGGCCGTGGATCTAACGATAATGGACCAAAATTTCAGAATCTCGTCCTCCTTAAAAGTCTTGTTGTGCACCTTTGCAGAAATTATTGGACGATGTAGCGACACAAAAGGGGGCATTCTTTCTGCTGCACCTCTTGCCTTATATGGTTGAGTGATAAAGTCCCAATAACTTCTGTTGAGCATGTTATCATAAATCTGAAATAATTATAAGAAGAATCTACTTGGTCTTCTAGGACATTTCCTGTTGGTGAGATAGCGCATAATGCTACTTAATATTCTTGTGTGGTTAGAATGTTTTCAAGTCCTGGTTTTGTTCTTACTCGTGCAAATGGTATCATGCCCTTTATGCTATGTCCTTCTTGTTGCTTATTTTACAGCTTTTGCTTTTGGGACTTTTGGTCAGACTAGGTAGATTTCTATGCCCTTCAACTCATAACTGATAAGGATTATGATAGGCCAGTTAATATGTTGCTAAATGGAAGTTTGGTTTCTTTTGTAAATTATAGATTATGTTTTATGTCTCTGTTTGTCAATGGTTCAGCAGAGCCTCATTCCTCAACCCTAATCTGTTACCTGCATTCAACATGTGCGGTTTTTGGAAGATACAGACTTATTTGCTTCTAGTGCAGTCTGTTTTACGATGGGAGTAAACAATCATAGATGTTAATAGATGCCTTGCTGAGTTGGAAGATCACAGATGTGAGTGAACAATCATAGATGTTAATGAATGACATTTTCGTAATTATTGTGTGCCCATTTACTGCATTGTGAGTTGGAAGATCTACATTTGTAAAATTTCCGATGGCTTTTGAAAAAATTTTAATTGTCAAAAGGTCATCTGGCATAAACCAGCCAAGGAATTGAATGCCAAATGTACTGTTGACGTTATAAATTTTTCTGTTCTGTGGTTGATCGCATCAGATGCCTTGTAGTTGTCTATTTTAACCAAAACAACTTGTCATTATGTGCTAATTTTATTGCGTTTAGTAATGTGCTAAATTAGTTGGGACAGGTAAGGAATTGAATGCCAGTCATTGCCCCTATGAAACGGCTGCTTACGGGCCAGGATATGGATGTGGCATTGGAATCATTGATGCTTGAAAAGCTATTGGTGAGGCAAACACTTTCGTACCTATAGTTAAAGTGAATGGGCAAGATCTCTTAGGGTGCAATAGAGAATTATGGCCATGCAAACTCAGATTAGGCTATAGAACCTGCTATACAAGGTTTACTGTTGTACTGAAAGATATAAATGGTCTTACAATTTGATTGAGATCTTAATAAAACAATGTATTGGTATAAAGTTACCTTACTGCTTGTTGAATGCATAACAACAAATTGTCAAGTCAGCAGAGGCTAATGGTGGTTTACTGCAAGAGGTTGTGATTAGCATTTGAAGTATGAAATGCCAATTCTCTGGATATTAAGGAGTGTAAATCAGGAAAATACCCTTTATTTTGATGCTGGAAACGGAATGGGTAACTTTCAGGGAAAACAGCTCCGTGATTGGCGTTTCTTTGGACTTTGCCGTGGTGCTTGTGGGATATCTATCAAGATTCAAGACCATGCCGTGGCGTACCTGCTGTTAACTCTGAAGGGACAGATGTCCATAATTAGTACTGTTTGATGCATACGAGAATGTTGTGATCAACGGCGCCGCCGTTGTCTGAGAAAGGAGTACGAAGATTTGTCAGTTGAGTGAGTCGAAACTGCTTGCCTGTTTCAAATGGTTCTAGTCCTGTTCAATTTCATGACTTGGCTTTCAATCTGCACAAAGTAGAGTGCATGTTATGTTTATCTTTGAAATGTAGCTTTACTACTCTTTTTTTTTTTTTTTCCTTTTTCCCCCCGCCGTATTGAAATTTTGGAAAGATGTTAAGATATAAATAATATGCAGGGACGTTCGTGGTAGGACTGTGTTTAAGTTGAGAGCCTTCTTTTGCCGATCTTGGGAGTACTGTGACGATATTGTCTTGACTTCAATATTGTGACTTTACACATCACATGCATACAGACCAGTTAAAATAAGGTAAAAATAAAAAAATTTTCTCTTTAAACTAAAGGGTTAATTTCACATACCCCTGAGGTTTTTAACAATTACAGAAAGCTCCCCTCAAGTTCTAAAAATTACACTTATCTTCCCTATTTTCACTATTTAAGTAACATTTTAGATCCAAAAGGCTGTACTTTTTCTCAAAATTTCTATAATGCCCTTGAGTTATAATTCATAACAAAAATGTAAAGGAAAAAATGGTTTACAGTCTTTATTTCATTTATCTTTATTTCCTACCCCTATTACCTACTTATCAAATATTCCTCTTTTACATAAAAATTTTTATCTAATATTCCTACTTATCAAAATTCTTATCATTTATCTAATATTCCTCTTTTACATAAAAATTTTTAATGCAGACCATTGTATTAACTATAAATGCTACATCATATATCTAAAAACTTACCTACAATCTGATAACAATATCAGATTTTACTTATATATACTACAATATTCATCAATATTCCTAAATTTCAATTCCATGGCTACCACCTTTTTAATACAAAATAATATAAACCATCACTACTAATATCAATATCCAATATATTCCATTGGCACAGAGTTCAAAATCAATCAAATTCTCTCTATAGGAATAATATCAATAATTGTAAATAAAAAATAGAAACACAATGCAGTTATAAATATATATCAAGAACACTTTTTTTCATGATAACCATAATAGTATAACTTATATATAAGATACTAAGATACTAAGATGTATAAGTATTTGTGGTTTAGTGTGTATGATGATTTTATTAGTAGCGATAGTATACATTTGGTTGATAATAATAGATGAATGAGTTTGAAAGAAAAATAGATATATGAGAAAGAAAATAGATAGTTAAATAGAAAAGACTGTGGTTTGAATTATTGGTTAATAATCGATGAGAGAGTTTTAATATTTAATAGAGTTTTTCACTGAATTAACAATTAATAAAGGGCATTATTATCTTTTTATCACAATAACAGAGGTTTCTGTAATTATGTAAGGGTTACAAAGGTTTCTCTTTCTCCAACATTCCTCCTGTGTAGAGTCGTTGGAGAATCAAGAGTTGATGTACAGATAAAGCCCTTGTTCTTTCGGGTGTTACTTCACTGTCATTCGTGTTAGTATCTGTTTGCTGATGTTATCTCTGAAAAATGGTATCTGTTTGCTGATGTTATCTCTGAGAAATGGTAATGCTATGGCTGTAAATGAATGCACTGTTAAACTCGTACACACTCTTATTGTGTGCCCATTTACTGCAATGTAAATGTAATTTTTGTGCAATGTAATTTTGTTTAGTTCAAACAGTTATCCTCTGGTAATCTTATCATTCTTGTGCAATGTAGTTTAGTTTAGTTCAAACAGTTATCCAATTGCTATCTTGTTGCTAATCTTATTATTGTATTGGAAACCTCAAAATACACTATAGATTAGAAGATTGTTCTTCCTCGATGTAGAAATGGATAACTAGCCACTTGGATACACCTTTTTTTTGGTACTGGGATACACTTCATAGTTAATTCCCGTGAAAAATAGATGTATTACCAACATCTGAACTTTTAATTTGTTCATATTGGTCGTTGCAATTGCCGTGGTCAAATGAAAAAAGGCAAAGAAGAATTAGTTTGATCTCACTAGGCTTGCTTGGATTTGAATTATTTAGAAAAAAAATCTTTTTTTTAAAGATTTTTAAACACGTTTTTTAATCATCTTTTTACAATATGCAGTATCTTACAAAAAAAAAAAATAATGATGCGTGGGAAAAAATTTGCTAGATAGTCTCCACTAACAAATGTAAACTAGGGTAGAACACGTACCGCTCTGATGTGAAACGATAGGAAGGTCCACAGATGGTAATTCATGTGATTATAATAGCAGTTAATATGCTATGCATCATCGTACATCGTGGCGTTCACAGTTGTGCTTAGCTATGGCGGATAAAACTACAAACCCCAAAAATATCTCCATCCAATACCCTGACCCACAATTGAAACAAGGCCAAAAGGGAGACCACTAAAATTTGTTAATTATACAGCTACTGTGAAAATTCAATATGGCCAATTATTCAGCTGTTAAGATAAGTAATGGAATTGTGCAGCTACGAGATCTTTATTTAGCACATTACTTGTTCGATCTATTTTCTCCATGATTTTCTAATTGGCACCCTTTAATGTGGATAAAAAAAACAATCTGCTTCATTAATGCATTAATTATTTCATATTTTGGAAAGCTATTTTTAAGAGATTCACATGCTGAATGACATACCTAAACTTAAGATACATACACTTAGGGGAGCAATTTGGAACTATGAAAATTCTAACTCATATTTAAAATGCTCAATGCTTAGAGAAAACCTATTAAAGTCAAAACAAATGCAAAAATCCAAGAACGAAATTATCATTTCAGTTGAAAATGTTCTTGTATTGGAAGTTCGAACCATTTTAATTTTCAACATGGTTTCACACTAAAATCATTAATTTTAGTTTTGACTAGTGTGTAAAAAGTCACGAGAAGTACGTTAAATTCATTTATCAAATAAAGAAAAAATAAAAACTAGTAAACTAAACAAATACAATTTGTTAAATTATGAGAATTATAATATCGGATATGATATGCTTATTTTGTTGATTTTTTTGAATTTATCTTTTTTTGATTTTTTTTTTTACAAATATGAAAATTTTAGTGTTCCATGTCTTCTTCCAAAATAAATTGTATTTTTCCTTCCAAATTGTCATTTTATGGGAAGAAAAAGTTCAAAGTTCATAATGGTATCTTTTAAAAAAAAAAAAAGAAAAAGCCATAATGGTTGCTTTGGTTTAGAATTTGGAAACCTACCATTTCTCTAAAGTTAAAAAAAACAAATGTATAAAAATAAATCACTTTAAGAAGTTTGACAATATCATGTATCTTTTAGACATAATAATAATAAAAACAATATAGCACAAAGTTGGCCAAACTTTTGTTCTTAGTTTGAAAATAAATTATTAGATTTCTAAACTTATGTTGCCAAAAAAAAAAAAAAATACACACACACACATGCATGCACAACAATAAACGAAAAACGAAAAGATAGAAAAAAAAAAGGAGATGATGTTGAAGTACAAATAGCCAAACTTTCACCCCATCTTTGTTAGTTTATTTGAAATAGTCTTTTTTTTTAATCATTTGCAAAATTCTTTCCTTACTAAAAGTTTTTCAAAATTAAAGACGTTGCCTCTTAAATACTAGAATTCATCATAATAACTTTATCCATATTAACAAGTGCCGATTAGCCACCAGCTAACATTTAATCACAACTTTCCATTTAGGCTAATGCATTCAACTACAACATAAATAATTATGCCAGGGTGTTATCTATTTGGCATAATTACAACTATCTATGTTGTCTGTATAGTATGTCAAAGTGTTATCCTTATCCTAAAATTATAAGATGATTTTTTTTTTTTTTTTTTTTGTTTGGTAAGAATGAGACAATCCTTTTCATACAATCAGGAATTTCTAAAGGGTTCACATAACAAAACAAACCATGGAATAAAAATATAGTACTAGTAGAAGTGTAGAACTGTAGAAGGAAGCCATCGGAATTTTACGAATCATATGTGGCTGTCTCTGTAATAGTAAAACATTCTCATGGGAGGTTACAGTAATTTATTTTAATCCAACGTATGAAAATAAATAAACAAATAAATAAAAGACCTATGCCTGTCCTTGGTGTCTGCTTAAATAAATTTTTAAAAAAAGTACACCATCCAGTTCTCGCAGCAGCTCCGCTCACACTCTTCACTTCACTTTACTCAAAACTCCACTCCCCTTTCCTACTTCTTCCGCAGAACCTTCTCCCAGTCTCTAAACGCCAATAGCACCCACCAGATTCCAATCCTTTCCCGACAAGTAAAGGACAAAAAAAAGATAAATTTTTAAGATTTCTTTTCTTTCCTTAGATTTCACGAAAAAGTAGGAATGCCGGCGAACGTGGAATCGAAGCCACCTCCGAGGATCGGCAAGATCGGACCTTACACCGTCTTCATAACCCCTCCTTCTACTCCCTCCACTCCTACAACTCCCAGTCCCCGACCCCTCTCCGACTCTCCCAAGAAAACCGTTCCCGCTTCTCCGCTTGCATCGCCTGCCCCTGTTCAGCGGCCATCTCAGTCTCATTCTCCTCCGCCTCCTGCGGTTCAGGCTCCGCCTTCGCAGTTTTATAGCACTAAACCATCCCACAAGTCTCATTCGACTTTTGGGTTCTTCTGGGATGCCGTCGCTAAAGTTCAAAATGGTAAATTTTTTTTTTCCTTTTGTTAAATAAATCTAGAGCTGATAATTTTTTTTTTTTTTTGGTTAGATTCAGGATTTGGGTATTTTTGCTTGTTTTTTCCTTTTGTTTGTAAAAGGTTTTGATTTAACTTAATTTTCTTTTTATAGCTCACGCGAGTTTGGATGAGCACGTGGCGTATTTGTTCGGGTTGAATCAGTCCAAGTATCAATGGGCACTCGATGATTTCTATGAAACAAAGGGAACTGTAAGTTTTTATCTCTTCTTTTCTGTTACCCATCTAGATAAATTCAGCTTATAGGTATTTCCTTTTTAGCTAATAATGCTTGCTAATCAAGGATTGGAGTCTTACATTGTTTCACTGGTAATGACTGTTAGAATGTAGTTTCTTGATTGCAGTTTTTGAGCATGTAGGGGTGAGAGACGAATGCTCTAGTTGACTTTTTAGCGGAAGTTTTCAAGTTTGATCTTGATTATTTAAAAGTATTAAAAATGGAAAACTTATGTGAACTACAAGTAGAAGATATATGCCAAATTGTAATCCAAAGGTAAAGACCAGGTTACCAAAGATATGATCTTAGCCCCCACAATGGAGTATG